AAATGATCAGACAGGAGAGGGTTTTCAGGAAACACTGTTAAATGTTCAGGTTCGATGCCATATGTTAAAACAAGATCTAGAGTGTGATTAAAGTGGTGGGTGGGTTCTTTTACATTTTGAGAGAAACCAATTGAGTCTAATAACAGATTAAATGCCATGTTGAGGCTGTCATCTGATGACACAATATACTTCTAGACCAACTGCATTGAGTTCAGGAGACCAGTAGCATATACAAACACCATCATGGATGAAGAGATCCCTTCCAAATCACAACCTGGGAAGTTCACCTTCGATATCAATGTTTGTGAATGGACTTGGAAAGATTGTCTGAGTTTAATATTTGCCACACGCGGAGTTATAACGGCAATTGAGGAGACTGAGAAAAAAATAAGACAATGAACACATCACAACCATGAACTGCAGTAGATTGTGGCAAAGGCAGACAGAGGTGGAGAGGTGAAGGGAGAAGAAAACATGGAACAATTAAGGCTGTTTTTAGTGTGGTCACACATTAATATTGGTTTAAGGATTGTCCTAAAAAGCAGGAATCTCAGGCCGACTGACTCGGGGTGGAGTTTGAGAAAGGGAAGGGTCCTCAGCATCGCAACAAAAGGTTAAAGATAAAAAATAAGACACGCACACAGATAATTGCATTAGCCCACCTACTGTCACACACAGCCAATGAAAGCTACTCATAAACATGGCAATTTCTCTCATTACTGTTAAAAATATACACACACACTTGCTACCAAATACTGAGTTCATCAGCTGCTGACAGAGACCTGCCACAGTTTACTCTCCAGATTACAGGACATCAGCTTGAGTTTTTAGTAGACTCTGGCGCTACTGTAAGGACACATGAATGTAGATTGTCGTAGCTGACATATGGTGCCTCAAGTGGCCTGTCTGAGTAAGGCAAGAGAAAATCAAAAAGGACAGAACCCACGCACGTTCTCTGGGGTGTGTGTATTTGTGAAGAAGAGGAGAGAAGTAGCTGTCTCCCGCATGTTGTCAGGGCCAGCCACATTAAGAAAGCCTCACAGTTCGACAAAAGGGGTACCAGAGAGGTCAGTGAAACAGAAGTCTCGAGAGTTTTGCTCCTTGCGTGAAGCTTGGCTTTGTGTAGCCGCGAGCCACAACGGGTGACGCTGCGGACCATAATCAAAGTAGATAACGTGGGGACAGGGCGTTGGAGCGAGAGCAAACTTTAGCTGCACTTTTCTTTTAGGCCCACCACCGTTTCTAGTTGGATTAGGCTGAGTTTGGCCGTTAATTGAACGTTTGGTGCAGGGCAGCATGTAAGCATGTAGTAAGTACCAGGGTCAATTGTACTAGGGGGGTCACGGACCCACATCCTATCACCCTCAGTCGTTCAGGGCAACTTGTACATACCCACACCCCTACATAGCGGGAGCTGGTAGCACCTACACTACCAATCAGTGATCAGTTAATAAATTAAGTGGTTAATATATTTTGATGCATGCTCAATCATCCAGGTAAGTAAATAAGTAAAGGCGCTGTCAATTGGTGTTCGCTCTCTCTGCGGTAGAGTATCACTTCCTTTTCCTGCTCAAACACAGTGGTGTTTTTGAGTAGCTTACCTGCTTAGCAATTTAATTAAAAACTTTTAGATACCTTTTTTTTCATAGTATAATCTTCGCGTGCTTCATCCGAAGCACACTTTCTGTGTACTCACTACCTAATTTAAAGCCAAAGTATTCACTCACTGTGAAGTCGCTAGCACCATGGCTACTTCACCTGTCCCTCCTGCACTTTCTTGCTCATTGTGTCAGATGTTTAGTTACTCCTCAGCCTCTGTAGCCAGATGGGCTACTCGCCTTCCGTTTTTTTTTCTTCTCTCATTCTCTCTCTCTCGCTCGCTCTACCACCCTCGCTCTCTTTCCGCTGCACTCGCTCCTTGTATCAGGTGATTGGGTTAATTGGGAACCCACCTGCACATTGATTGCAGGGTGGCGCTAGCCCGTATAAAGCTAAGCCGATGTTTTGTTGGATTAATCCCTCCTGAGCTTCTGGTGCGATACAGCAGTAAATGCTGGCGTACTGCGACAGACTGATCAGCAAGAGCCGATTATATGACAGCTACAGGTATGCTCTCGCTTAACCTCAGATTCCCTCCGAATACTGGAATTGGTGTTAATATACTTTTCCGGCCTGTTGTAGCGCAGCAGTCTGTTTAATTCTGCCATTCGGGCTGTGCAATGCTCCTGGTACCTTCCAGCGCCTAATGCAGAGGATGTTCGGGGATCAGCAGTGCCAGTCATTACTGCTGTACCTAGACGACATCATTGTGTTCTCCTCGTCTGTCTCTCAGCACCTGCAATGGCTAGAGATGGTGATGGCAAGGCTGCAGCAACAGGGGCTCAAGGCTAAGTTAGAAAAGTGTGCCTTTTTCCAGCAGAAGGTTAACTACTTGGGCCATGTAATCTCCTGTGAGGGTGTCTCGACCGATCCAGCCAAGGTTGACGCAGTAGCCAAATGGCAGTGTCCTCGTTCCGTGTCAGAGTTGCGATCCTTTTTGGGTTTCGCCAGCTATTACCGGCGCTTTGTGGAGGGGTTCGCCGCATTGGCGGCTCCCCTGCATCAAGTGGTGGCTAAATCGGCTGGCACAAAGACAAAGAAGGGCTCGGGACAGAGTTTGAGTGCTATTTGGACCCCTCAGTGTGAGGAGAGCTTTGAGGCCCTGAAAGCAAAGCTTGTGTCTGCACCTGTGCTAGCATATGCTGACTTTACGCGCCCATTTATCTTGGAGATTGACGCCAGCCACAGTGGTTTAGGTGCAGTTCTCTCCCAAGATGTAGAAGGTGTCATTAGGCCAGTGGCTTATGCTAGTCGAGGTCTTCAGCCACATGAGCGCAATATGGACAATTACAGCTCCATGAAGCTGGAGTTTCTTGCGCTCAAGTGGGCCATGGCCGAGAAGTTCCGGGAGTACCTGCTGGGGCAGAAGTGTGTGGTTTACACTGACAACAATCCACTCAATTAACTCTCTTCAGCTAAGCTGGGTGCCACCGAGCAGAGGTGGGCGTCCAAGCTGGCGGCATTCGATTTTGAGATCAAGTATCGCTCAGGCCGCAGTAATAGGAATGCTGATGCTCTCTCTCGACAGTATGAGACGAGCTCCAGCTTGGCCGAGGGTGTGTTGCCTGGGACTTGTGTCCCGACTTCACTTCAGCAGGCTCAGTGTCCAGCCGTTTCGCCTTCCGTTACTCAGTTGGAGATTGGGGCCTTTCCATCTCACTCCCTGGAGGATATTCGTGCTTTGCAGGAGGCTGACCCCCTCCTCAAGGATTTCTTGGTATACTGAAGGAGGCACACCCCGCCCTCTTCGGAGGAAAGGAGTCAGGTCCCCAAACCAGTCATGGTTCTGCTGCGTCAGTGGGATCGTCTGGTGGAGAAGGATGGCATCCTTTTTCGCCGTATCTTGCGTCCAGGTGGAGGTGAGGAAGCCCTCCAACTTGTTCTTCCAGAGGCTCTAAAGCCTGAGACCTTGAGGCAGCTGCACCAGGACCATGGGCACCAAGGTATTGAGCGTACCACTGAACTGGTCAGGCAGCGTTGCTATTGGCCCGGGATGTCCTCTGACATCAAGCAATGGGTTCAGCGTTGTGAACGCTGTCAGGTCGCAAAGGACTGAGAGTTGGGGTCTCATAGTTACATGGGTCATCTGTTGGCGTCTAGGCCAAATGAAATCCTGGCCATAGACTTCACGGTGTTGGAACCTTCCCGTAGTGGAGTTGAAAACGTCTTGGTTATGACTGACGTTTTTAGCAAATACACTGTTGCAGTCCCTACCCGGGACCAGCGGGCCTCTACTGTGCCCCAGGCCCTGTTAACAGAGTGGTTTTTTTAAGTTTGGCATTCCAAGCCGCCTCCACTCTGACCAGGGTAGAAATTTTGAGAGTTTGGTGATGCAACAGTTATGCGAGTTGTATCGGGTAGCCAAGTCCCGTACAACCCCTTACCACCCAGCGGGTAATGGGCAGTGCGAACGGTTTAACCGAACCCTCCATAACCTCCTCCGGACTCTGCCATCATCTCGGAAACGCGACTGGGCTGCATGCTTAGCGCATGTGCTCTTTTGCTATAATAGCACGCCGCATCAGGGCACTGGAGAGTCACCGTTTTTCTTGATGTTTGGCCGGGATCCTAGGCTGCCTATTGATTCCCTTCTAGGCCGCGTTCAGGACCCAGTGCCTGGAGAGGTACAGGACTGGGTGGCCGAGCACAAAGCCAGGTTAATGGTGGCTTTTGAGGGAGCTCGGGCATGGTTGTCACTGGCCGCTGACCGTCGTAAGGAGCGGCATGACCAGAGAGTCCACCCTGTTCCTTTAAAGGTCGGTCAGCTGGTGTATCTTCGAGATCACAGCGCCCGGGGCCGGCACAAGATCCAGGACCTTTGGAGCTCTGTGGTCTATCAGGTGTTGAGGGCACCCCAAGAGAACGGGGCTGTTTATACCATTGCCCCCGCGGGAGACTTGGAGAAGGTTCGACATGTCCATCGTGACATGTTAAAGGCACAGGTCAGCCTAGGGCCGCCTACACCTGGTCCACCGGTTCCACCCCCACCTGTACCCGCTGACTAAGAGCAGACCTCTCTGAGTGACGACGAGTTGTGGCTCCTTGTCCCTGAGGTACCCTCACACCCTGTAGCACCTGTGGTGTCACTTCCCGATGCCTCTAGAGTTCCATCGGTGGAGCTCCCCCAGGTTCTTCCTCAGGCTCTGTTGAACAGTCTGAGGTGAGTGGGCCACATTTGCGGAGAACAGCACGTTCAACAGCTGGTCAGCACTCAAATGTTTATCACTTGCCACGTCCTGTTGAATCCGCGTCAGTTGCTAATGCTCAGCTTGCCATATTCAGGCCATGGTGTTAGGTTCCTTGAGTTATTGTCGGGGCACCAATACAAAAAAGGGGGGGTAGATGTAGCCAGATGGGCTACTCGCCTTCCGTTTTTTTTCTTCTCTCATTCTTTCTCTCTCTCGCTCGCTCTACCACCCTCGCTCTCTTTCCGCTGCACTCGCTCCTTGTATCAGGTGATTGGGTTAATTGGGAACCCACCTGCACATTGATTGCAGGGTGGCGCTAGCCCGTATAAAGCTAAGCCGATGTTTTGTTGGATTAATCCCTCCTGAGCTTCTGGTGCGATACAGCAGTAAATGCTGGCGTACTGCGACGGACTGATCAGCAAGAGCCGATTATATGACAGCTACAGGTATGCTCTCGCTTAACCTCAGATTCCCTCCGAATACTGGAATTGGTGTTAATATACTTTTCCGGCCTGTTGTAGCGCAGCAGTCTGTTTAATTCTGCCATTGCGGAGAGAGGTGTTCGTGGTATCTCCACCAATGAGAGTATAGTGCCTCCGGTCCTGGGGTAAGCCGTTAGAACTACTTTTATTAGCATTCATAGCTATAAGAGTTTAAGGTTACATTTATCTGTTTCAGGGCTTCACTGCTGTACTCACCTCTCCATGGTAAATTGCCCAACCTAAATTGGAAGAGTGGACTGCCTTCTCAGCTGCTGTTGTGAACTCCTCCTTGGTGGAGTCTGCTGTCTTGTCTTGTTTTTATTAAGTAGGCTTACCTTTTTTTGGGTTCGCCTGGTGTTCTATTTTACCCTGGACTGTTGCTCGTACCCACGCTTCTGTGATCGGGCTGAAGTGATTCCCTGCCCGAGTGTCGTGCTGGGACTCTAAATCGCCTGGGTGGCCGGTCTCAGCCGGTGGGGAGCCAGACCGGCCTACGCCTGAGAATAATTATTACCAGCACGAGTGGTAGTTTGACCCGTGGGGAATAAGCCTTTCCTCTGTGTGTGTGCGCGTGTGTGTGATTTCTTTTATTAAAGTTATTAAAGTGTGTTTTAGTCTTTTTATGATTTGTAGCGAGCCTGACGCTCAGTGTCCTTTTATTCTTTTAACATACTTTTCTGTGTTTTATTTCAGTGAAGGAGGACGAGCCAGTGGCCCTGGGACCTCAGGTGGTGGGTCGTTTTCACACTTTCTTTTGTACAGCACTGGGTGGTCTGAAGTGATTCTTTTGGTGTGATTTTCTTTTGGTTCCACGGCTGCTGGTAAGTCCAAGTTCCACGGTTGTTTATGTTTACTGTAGGACACTGTCAATAATGATGCTACATCTTGACTTTTAATATTTTATTTATAAAATATTATTTATAATATTTTATTCATTTCTATAAATAAAACTGTTTTAATATTGGAAGCCAACCTGCCTCAGTGTGCATCCTTGAATCTGTGCGGTCTTCTTTTATTCCTTTTCTTTATTTTTCTTAAATATATTTCCTGGGGGTGTAATTCCCCTAGGTGGCGTTGTCAAGTTTATTTATTTTGTTCATAACCCCGCCGACCACTTGGTCACACCTCCTTTAGCAGTAATGATACTTGTAACAAATGTAGCATATTTGCAGCTCTGGAGGCCAGGATTACTGAATTGGAGACTCAGCTTTGCACCCTTCATTCACCCGTAGCTAGTCATGCCCCTGTAGCTGGTGCAGCCGAAGGTAGCGTAGGCCAGTGTTTCCCAACCACTGTGCCCCGGCACATAGGTGTGCCATGGGAAATTATTTAATTTTAATGAACTGGTCCAAAAATAAAATTTAATAATTACTACAAATGATAAAATCATTGTTGGGCATCTGTGCTTTCAATGCAGTGACTTGTAGAGTAATTACTCTTTTATGTCAGTGGGTGGCAGTGGGTAGCGCAATATCACCTTGTTAAGTTAAGACACAGTAAGTGATGCGCGTGGTATGTGGCAACTGCAAGACGTACAACAAAGATGGATAAATATTTGAAAACAAAAACTGCAGACTCCGAACTGGGCCCTGGACAAAATTCTAATCCAGAAGAGCCTAGTACGAGCGGTAGTCAAAAGAAAGCAAAAACAGTGAGCTCGAGGCAATACAGCAAAAGTTACCTTTCGTTCGGATTTACTTTCACTGGACTGCACCAACTCAGTTATGTTTGGTGTGTGGAGAAAAGCTCTCAAACAGTGCTTTTGGTCCCAAGCAAGCTTAAATGCCATCTCCACACAAAACATCCCTCACTTCAAAACAAGAACAGACTATTTTGTTCACCTGCGTGAACACGCTGAGAAACAGGTAACTTTAATGAGAAAAAACACAAAGGTGTCTGAAAGAGCTCTCAAAGCTGAACTTTTAGCCAAATCCAAAAAAAACACACATACCGTAGCAGAGACATTAATACTACCTGCCTGCAAAGCCATTGTGAATAAGATGCTGGGCCCGGACACGGTTAAAGAAATAGCCAAAGTCCCGCTCTCACAAAACAATTGCCAGACGTATTGATGACATGTCTGCAGACATCGAAAGTGTGGTTTTGGAGAAGATACGCTTCAGTGGGAAGTTTTCATTGCAACTTGATGAGTCTACGGACATTAGTGGACATTCCCAATTCTTGGCCAATGTGTGTTTTGTGGATGGGGACTCCATCAGAGAAAACCTTCTGTTTTGCAAGGCACTGCCAGAAAAAACAACATGAGAGGAAATTGTTTGGGTAACATCCGAATATCTTGAACAAGGAGGACTTAAGTGGGAAAACTGTATGAGTGTCTGCACTAATGGAGCAGCAGCCATGGTCGGGCGCACCAAAGGTTTCTTAGCAGAGTGAAAGCAATACACCCAGATGTTATTGTTACGCACTGTTTTCTGCACCGTGGGGAGCTTGTTGCCAAAACTTTACCAGCAGACCTAGCTCCTGTGTTGAATGATGTCGTGCGCATGGTAAACTTCGTCAAGACAAGACCTCTGAAAAGAAAACTAAAAACGGAGAGATTTAGAGCTGTTGAGGAAGAGCTTCGTGTATGCCTTTCTTCAATTCCTGCCAGAATATCATCTTTGTGTTCATCTAGACAGGCCCAGGTTTCACACTGAGTATAAACAAACTGAGAGATTAACTTGCCATTATATGTACTATATTAGGCTACAATGTGTCATTTTGGAGTAAGTTTGGTTGGTGGTGTGCCACAGGATATATTTAATCTATAAAATATGCCGCAACTTAAAGGTTGAAAAACACTGGTGTAGGCTCCGCTAGCTGTTTCCCGGCAGATCCCAAGCAGCTGGGGAAAGAGGGCAACTGGGTGACGGTGAGGAGGAAGCATAGTCTTAAAAGAAGCCCCAGGTACACCACCAACCTGTTCATCTGTCTAACCGTTTTTCCCCACTCGGCGACACACCCGCCGGGAGTCAAACTCTGGTAATTGGTGATTCTGTTCTGAGTGTGTGAAGCTAGAGACACTGGCAACCATAGTCAATTGTCTTCCAGGGGCCAGAGCAGGTGACATTGAGGGAAATTTAAAACTGCTGGCTAAGGGTAAACGTGAATTCAGTAAAATCATAATTCACGTCGGCAGCAATGGCACCCGGTTACGCCAATCAGAGGTCACTAAAATCAATATTGAATCGGTGTGTACCTTTGCAAAAACAATGTCGGACTAGTTTTCTCTGGTCCCCTCCCCAATCAGACCAGGAATGACATGTTTAGCCACATGTTCTCCTTAAATTGCTGGCTGTCTGAGTGGTGTCCAAAAAACAATGTGGACTTCATAGATAACTGGCAAACCTTCTGGAGGAAACCTGGTCTTGTTAGGAGAGACAGCATCCATCCCACTTTGGATGGAGCAGCTTTCATTTCTAGAAATATGGACAAATTTATTAACCCCCCCCCCCCCCCCCCCCCCAAAAAAAAAAATAAAAATTAGACTATCCAGAGTTGGGACCAGGAAGCAGAGTCGCAGATTTACACGCCTCTCTGCAGCTTCTCACCTCCTGTTACACCCCCCCCCCCCCCCCAAAAAAAAAAACCCAAAAAAACCCCATTTACACTGACACTATGTCAGCTCACAATCAGACAGAAAACAAACTAAAAACCAGCAATAAACAACTTAAACATAAAAAATCACAAAGAAAGAGCAATACAGTTTACACATCTGAACCAAAGAGTAAAACAGTGAAATTTGGATTATTAAATATTAGGTCTCTGTTAGTACATGACTTAATAATTGATCAACAAATTGACTGACTTGACTTACAGAAACCTGGTTGCAGCAGGATGATTATGTTGGTTTAAATGTATCATTCTAACAACCAGAAATCTCGAAGCACAATTCAATTCAATTTTATTTATATAGCGCCAAATCACAACAACAGTCGCCTCAAGGGGCTTTATATTGTACAGTAGATCGTACAATAATAGGTATAGAGAAAAACCCAACAGTCATATGACCCCCTATGAGCAAGCACTTTGGCGACAGTGGGAAGGAAAAACTCCCTTTTATCAGGAAGAAACCTTCGGCAGAACGAGGCTCAGGGAGGGGCAGGCCATCTGCTGCGACCGGTTGGGGTGAGAGAAGGAAGACAGGATGAAAGACATGCTGTGGAAGAGAGACGGAGATTAATAACAGATATGATTCAATGCAGAGAGGTCTATTAACACATAGTGAGTGAGAAAGGTGACTGGAAAGGAAAAACTCAATGCATCATGGGAACTCCCCGGCAGCCTACGTCTATTGCAGCATAACTAAGGGTGGATTCAGGGTCACCACAATAATTGATTACACAGCAGTGGAGAGTAGACTTTATCAAAGTAGATGTCTTTCTGAAAGCACGGTAACTAAGTTTAAGAATATAATCCACCCACTGTTATCATCTTCAATGCCCTGTACCAACATAGAGCAGAGTAGCTACCTTAACACTACTCCAACAGAGGTCGATTATCTTGTTAATAATTTTACCTCCTCACTACGTACGACTCTGGATACTGTAGCTCCAGTGAAAACTACGGCCTCAAATCAGAAGTACCTGACTCTGTGGTATAATTCTCAAACACGCAGATAACTCGTAAGCTGGAGAGGAAATGGCGTGTCACAAATTTAGAAGATCATCATTTAGCCTGGAGAAGTAGTTTGTTGCTTTATAAGAAAGCCCTCCGCAAAGCCAGAACATCTTACTATTCATCACTGATTGAAGAAAATAAGAACAACCCCAGGTTTCTCTTCAGCACTGTAGCCAGGCTGACAAAAAGTCAGAGCTCTTTTGAGCCAACAATTCCTTTAACGTTAACTAGTAATGACTTCATGAACTTCTTCACAAATAAAAGTTTTATCATTAGAGAAAAAATTACCAATAATCATCCCATAGATATAATATTATCTACAGCTACTTAGTATCATTAATATTCATTTAGACTCTTTTTCTCTAATTGATCTTTCTGAGTTAACTTCAGTAATTACTTCCTCCAAACCATCAACGTGTCTTTTAGACCCCATTCCTACAAAACTGCTCAAAGAAGTCCTACACATTAACTAATGCTTTAATCTTAAATATGATCAACCTATCTCTAATAATTGGCTATGTACCACAGGCCTTCAAATTGGCAGTAGTTAAACCGTTACTTAAAAAGCCATCTCTAGACCCAGCAGACTTAGTTAATTGTAGGCCAATCTCTAACCTTCCTTTTATGTCAAAAATTTTTGAAAGAGTAGTTGTCAAACACCTAACAGATCATTTGCAGAGGAATGGCTTATTTGAAGAGTTTTAGGCAGGTTTCAGAGCTCATCACAGCACAGAAACTGTGATGAGCTCTGAAACCTGCTAAGAAGATCGTTTGTGAAGATTACAAACGATTATGGCCTCTGACCGCTGACTCATCTCTGTGCTTGTCCTGCTATACCTCAATTTATCGTTTGACACTGTCGACCATAATATTCAATTAGAACGATTAGAGCATGCTGTTGGCAGTGGTGGTTTTTGATATGGGCGAAATCATGGGCATTGGAAAAAAAGTTGCTTAGACCCAAGTTGCCCCAACATTATGCCAGGGCATTTTGGGAATTGCATAGGGACCAATTGGTTTTCTATTGCCCATTTGCAAGGAGTAAGGGTGCCCTCCATTTACGAGGTGCGCCTGCTGCTTACTGCACAGGAGGAGAGGGGCGGCGGATTCTCTGGCTGGCTGGAGCGGCATCTAATAAATAGCTCACAAAAAAAAA